AGGGGGGCTCAGGGTTTAGGGTTGAGGTTTCGTAAGGTTTAGGGTTTAGGGTTTAGGGTTCGGGGTTTAGGGTTTAGGGTTTAAGATTTTAGAGTTGAGGGTTCAGGGTTCAGGGCTGAGGCTTGGGCAGGAAACTTCGGAACATTCGGGTTTTAATGGAGGTTGAGGAGTCCAGCAATAAGCATGTTTCAGCGTTTGTGGTGTTTGAGGCTTTTGGGGCATAGGTTGATGTGTTTAGGGTTTAGGGTTTAGGGTTTAGGGCTTAGGGCTTAGGGTTTAGGGTTGCAGGTTTGAGTTTCAGGCCGCGCTCTGTGCCCGATACGCGCAGGGAACTCCGAAAGGTCTTCTGCCTCTTAAAGCCTGAACCCCCTGAACCCCCTAAATCCCCCAAACTCCCGAAAAACCCACTAAAACCCCTAAAAACCCCCTAAAACCCCCCTAAAAACCCCCCCAAAAAACCCCCAAAACCCTAAAAGAAGCCCCATCGAACGAACCAGGAGGGACGGCGCGGCCTCTTCGCGGCGTCGTTGACCTTCCTGGTCCTGCCGTGCCTGGCTTTAGGGTTTAGGGTTTAGGGTTTAGGGTTTCGGGTTTAGGGTTTAGGGTTAGAAAGGAGGATGGTGTAGTGGGCTTGGAGTGCGAGGCTACAGGGCTTGTTAGGGTTTAGAGTTGAGGGTTTAGGGTTCGCAGTCCTTCGTAGGGATTACAATGGAGACGACTAGAATCCCAATTAAGGACTGTTAGTATCCGGGGGGATCCCAAGTTTGGGGTTTTTTGGGGTTCAAGTTTTAACTTTCTTGGGGGTATTAGGCCCGCCAGGAACGCGATGAGCGGAACCATGGGGATGCGCTGGCACAGCTCATGTTATGGGGTTTTGGGGCTTTGGGGCGCTTGTTAGGGTTTAGGGTTTAGGGTTTAGGGTTTAGGGTTTAGGGTTTAGGGTTTAGGGTGCAGGGTGTAGGGCTTAGGGTTTAGGGTTTAGGGTTTAGAGTTACAGGCTCCGGGTGGCAAAGGTCGCGCGCTGGTACGCGCACAGTAGCGTGAAGACGTGCCACCACAAGACCGCCTGAACACGGCTAGCCAAAACCACTGCCAGGTGTGGGGTTTAGGGTTTAGGGTTTAGGGTTTAGGGTTTAGGGTTTAGGGTTTAGGGTTTAGGGTTTAGGGTTTAGGGTTTAGGGTTTAGGGTTTAGGGTTATCGGGTATAGGCTTTAGCCAAACCAAACTCACGTGTCGCATGTTTGCTCGTGCCCGAGCCAAGGTTTCCGGTGCAATATTCCCGCCCCCTACACCTTCCGAAGCCTTAAATCGACCCTACGCAAACCCTGCACACCTCACGTGCCCTGCACGCCTTACCCTAAACCCTAAACCCCCAAACCGTAAACCCTAAACCCTAGGAGTTTGGGGTTTCCGCCGTGGCCCAGGACTTTCATGCGCTGGTGCGTCAGCAGCTTCGTAATGAACCCGTGCACCCCTGACCCTGGGCTGCATGTTCAAACCCCAAATCCTAAATCCTGAGCCTTGACAAAACGACAAGCGAGCTTGAGTAAATTAATCCAACGTGGCCACAAAAGGCCCAACAAGCCCCAAAACCCCCTCAGACACGAATCCTATCTATCTCCTTAGCCAAAGCAAAAAACAAACTCGCTCAACCCTTTCGCCTTTCGCCCAAAACCCGCCCAACATTTTTGCCCGAAACCCGCCCAAAACTCCGGACACAAACCCTACACAATTTCTGTAAGCCCTAAACCCTAGACCCCAAACCCTAAACCCTCTACCCGGGGGCTTTATAGGAGTCTGAGGGTAGGTTTAGGGCATTTGGGCGGACTCCGGGCGAAGAACCTGCCAAAAAACAAAATACACATTCTTCCTTACCAGGGTAATATAGGGATCATGTTATCATTTATTGCTTAGGGATTTTAACGCAAGTAGTAGTGGCTCATGTGTCATGTGTAGATGTAAGCCGGGATTCTGGGTGCTTGCTTGGAGTATGTATACTTGCATTACACCCTGATCCCCCAAAACTCCGAACCCTCAAAGGTCACAGACTGAAAGTTGAGGTTTCATCTCCTTAAACCCTTAAGCCTACATCCCCCCCGCCCAAGGGTCTGAATTCTTAACATCCTAATTCCCACTAAGAATCCAAGCCCACAAACCGCAACACCTAGAGCCCAGAACCCTAACACCGACACCCTATAACCCTAAACCCCGCAAAATCCTGAACCCTGAGCCTTAAAGCCTATGCCCCTCAGCCCCTCGTAAAGACCCTAAACCCTAAACCCGAAACCATAAACCCTAAACCCTCATCTGCTAAATCCCTAAAGCCCGCGTTGTCATCTCGGATGCCAAGCGCTTGAGGATTTCCTGGGGCAGCGCGAGGAGAATCCACCGCTGTGCCCACGCCTGGATGCTAGTCTGGTTTAGGGGGCTGAACCCAAAAATCCCTAAAACCTAAACCCTAGATCTTCAACCCCAAGCCCTTAAACCCTCAAAACCCTTAAACCCTTAAACCCTTAAGGGTTTAAGGCCTTAAACCCTCAAACCCTCAAAACTCTCAAACCCTTAAGCCCTAAACCCTTAAACCCTTAACCCTTAAGCCCTTAAACCCTTAAACCCTCAAACCCTCAGAACTCTCAAACCCTTAAACCCTAAACCCGTAAACCCTTAAACCCTTAAACCCTAAAACCCTTAAACCCTTAACCCCTAAACCCTAAACCCTATCCGTTAGGGGTTCGGGGTTTTACAGGGGTGAGGGGGTTGAGGATGAGGTTTAGAGGTGTAGGTTCAAAGGCCGAGTGCCTTCAACCTTAAACCGGAATCCGACACCCTAAGCTCTTTATTTATACCCTGAGCCCAGGGATCCTAAACCCTATGTACCATAGCTCAAAATTCTAAAGCCTACATATCCCCAAAACCTCACGTCAACAAGCCTTGAACCCTAAACCCCTAAACCCCTAAAACCCGAAACCCTGAACCCTAGAACCCCTAAAACCCCAAATCCCACAAGTACCTTATTGGGGTCCTCATTCTCAGGGAACCTTACGATTTCGGAGTCTATATTGGGGTCCTTCATTTTCCTGAAAAGCTAAGGCCTACGTCCCGCTACTGGGGGAGCTGGCAGTCATTGCGGACACCGTCAAAAGTCGGGCGGCAAAACCCTACAACTTTAGATCCTCCCTAAAACTTTACCTTAAACCCCACACCCTAAGAACTAAACCTTAAACCCTAAACCCCAAAACCTAAACCCTAAACCCGTCGCCCTAAGCCCTAAAAGGTCGTACGCCCGAAATCCAAAGCCTTGAACCCTCCACCGTAACTCGCTGAGACCCAGAACCCTCTAACCTCTGAACCCGAAGCCCTAAGCCATAAGTTGCCCCAGTCCCCTGGAGGTCAGTGGAATTCTGCTCACCCAAACCTTCGGGACAAGAGGGACCCCGGGGCAGTGACTAGGCTGAGAGTGTAGGGGAGTTCAGGGTTTAGGGGCTTTCGACTACTTTTGTATTCTTCATATTTTCTATAATAAATATATATATATGTATGTAGATATATATATATGTGTATATATATATATATATTTATGCAGCGAGACTTTTCCTATTTTTGCTCTTAGTTTTTTATTTTTCTGGGGGGGGGGGGGAGAGGGGCTTGTGGGCGTTCAGCTTTTCTCGCCCTGTGCCTGCAGTAACCCAAGACCCTCAACGTTGCACTTACAGTTGCCAACATGTGTATGTGTATATATATATATATATATATTTTTTTTTCTTTCTAATTATCTATTTCCACGCGCACACACACACACACATATATATATATATATACACATACATATATATATATATATATATATGTATATACACATTCACATACATGTGTATATACATATATAAATAAATACATACAAATATATATATGTATATATATACATATATATGTATATACAGTTCATTGCTATGCGTGATGCAGTTCGGTAGCTTGGCCAAAGCTCCCTGGCAGCACGGGCTGAAACCCCTAAACCCTAACCCCTTCGACGCCGAAATCTCTGAGACCCCGAGATCCCATGAGACCCCTAAACCCTAATCCCCAAACTCTAAACCCTCAACCCTGTAAACCCTAAACCCTAAACCCTCCACCCTCTAAACCCTAAACCCTCAACCCTAAACCCTCAACCCTCTGAACCCTAAACCCTCCACCCTCTAAACCCTAAACCCTAAACCCCTCTGAACCCTAAAACCCCAAGGTCTTGGTTTACCTCCGACTCCTGGAAGCCACGTTTGAGGCCACGCCGCAGGCCATCATCCAAGGCGGGTGCGAGGGCTTTAGGCTTTCGGGTTTGGGGGGGGTGTTTAGGGTTTAGGGTTTAGGGTTTAGGGTTTAGGGTTTAGGGCTTAGGGCTTAGGGCTTAGGGCTTAGGGTTTAGGGGGTTCAGGGGATTTGGGGTTTAGGGGTTTAGGGTTGAGGGTTTAGGGTTTGGGAGCTTGGTTGTCGGCGAGTCGGCAGGGGATTCTGGGATCAGGTCATCGATGCCGAAGAGTTGGGTCCCGCCTAAGCCAACCCAACGCACTCTTAAAGCCAAAAAGCCGCTTGTCGAGAGGTCTCAACAATCCTACCAACGCGCAGTCCCTAAACCCTAAACCTTAAACCCTAAACCCTAAACCCTAAACCCTAAACCCTAAACCCTAAACCCTAAACCCTAAACCCTAAACTCTAAACCCTAAACCCTAAACCCTAAACCCTAAACCCTAAACCCTAAACCCTAAGCCAAACCTTGGAAACTTCCACAGCATTCAGCTGCCCCCCAGTTCATGAGCCCATGTACGGTCAAAAGAATCTATGGCTCCGCATATGAACCTTCGATTAAGCCTAAATGCCCAAGTACGAACCCTAAACCCTAAACCCTAAACCCTAAACCCTAAACCCTAAACCCTAAACCCTAAACCCTAAACCCTAAACCCTAAACCCTAAACCTTTTTCCCCAAGCCCGAAGCCCGAACGCCCTACAGATGCCGGTGACCCCACCGCGAGGCCTCGTGCTCTACGAGGACTCTTTCTGTTGTCTTAGTATGGTCCCTTACCCTTATCTAGGCAGGCCCTTGAGACATTTTATATTCTCCCTTCTGGGGTTTAAGAGGACCATATGTAGGAATATGTTTCAGAGGGTTTGAAGGGCCATCCTAGTTATTTATAGGGATCCGAAGTATGGGCCCTTGTTATGTATGGTGTACATAAGGGTTTTCCCAAATTAAAGGGCCCATACTTCGTATGGCCCCCAACGTCCCAAGACCCCAAACCCGAAACCCGAAACCCTAAACCCTAAACCCTAAACCCTAAACCCTAAACCCCAACCCCTGAACCCTAAACTTCGAGTCAGTTCCCATCTTGGGATGCTTGAAGACCCCCTTCGTTTCGTGGAGGAGATGTCGCAGGATACGGAAGTCCTCTACATCCAGTGGCAGCTGGGTTTAGGGTTTAGGGTTTAGGGTTTAGGGCTTGGAAAAGTGCATGTTACATTGTTGCAAGGCGGGTACTCAAACCAGGGCCAGAGTTTCGCGAACTGCCCATGGGAGTCCCTCCCTAAACCCTAGACCCTAAACCCTAAGCCCTAAGCCCTAAACCCTAAACCCTTGTGAAAACCCTAAGCCCTAGACCGTAGACCCAAAACCCCAAACTCAACCCAGGCAATCCTTCATCATGTCCTTCGCAGCCATCGGCATTGGGCTCTCTAGCGTGTCCGTGCACAGGCGCGGACTTGGGTGTAAATTCAGGGTTGACAGGGCTTTGGGTTCATGTGCTGCTTGTGTCATGTGAACCCTAAACCCTAAACCCTAAACCCTGCACCCTAAACCCTAAACCCCGAACCCTGAACTGCCCTGTGAGATCCAAGCAGTCGCCAGGCCCATGAGTAGGCCCCAACCCTTCTATCCAGGTACAAAGAACGTGCCGGGGTGCAGTTAGGACGAAAGAAAATGAAGGGGTTCTGGGTCTGACTTTCAGGGCAGGGAGGGGGCGACTGAGTGAGGTGATCTTCATCGTCCACCTGAGCCTTTCCAAACCGCTTGTCATCGGGGGGAAGTAGAACCAGCGGGTCCTGAAACCCTCCAAGGCCTCCAAATCGAATTGGAAGGGGCCCAGGTAGCTGTGAAGCATGAGCTTCAAGCCCGAGCAGAGGGGTCTAGGGGTTTGGGGTTTAGGGTTTAGGGTTTGAGGTTTAGGCGAAGGGTTGTTCCATGGTCTCTTAATACTGGTCCCTTACCTCCGCTAAAGGGTTCATAAGGGTTCTGAAGTATGGGCCCTTGGGTTGTATAGGGATTACGAGGGTATATAAAGGTTCCCCTTTTCAAGGGCCCATATAAGGAACCATGTAACTAAGCTACGATTTATCCAACTGCCTTGTGCTAGGTTCTGGGAGCAGAAGCAGGAGCAGCGGAAGTTTCAGCATCGGAGCCAGATCGAGGAATCTTACGGCAGCCTCTGGCACGTCGCCGGCTCGATCTGCCTATCCCTGTACATGGCTTCGGACAGCTTCTTGCGGATGAATGCCATCGCAACGCTGCTCTACAGTCCCTATGCGGTGTGGTTTGTGGTCTATGCCGGTACCGCCTATGCAGGGTTGCCTTGCCTCGCGGTTGGCGCAAGCTTGATCGTCTCGATGTTCTGCGAGAAAGACATGGACAAAGTAAACGTGTCATGCTGCGCCAACGTCGGAATTGTGCTGGTCATGTATACTGGCGCGCTCCTGACCGCAGCCTGCGCCTTCTTGATACCCCTGGATCTAGCACTTTGCTGGAAGTTTCCGCCCTTCTCCTGGCTGCGCCTGGCAGAGCATCTGGCAATGAGCATCATCAGCTTCTTCATCGGGGCGCCCCTAACCTGGGTGCCGTTGCTCATGTGGATTCTGTCAGCCTCCACCATCGTGCCGCCCCTGGGTTCAAGCTTTTGGCTGCTCTTGCAGCTTCGGGTTTGCAGCTTCGGGGTTCTTTGAGTGAAAAGCAAGGTGGCCGTGACATCCCCTGTCCCCACCGTGCTACAATCTATCTCCCAACCCCTTCACCATAACCCTGAAGGCTGTGTAGCTGTTGGGAGTATTCTCAAGTTCCCCCCCCCATTTTGGTTCATAATCACAGGGTCGTAACCAAAAAACTCAGGATGCTTGAAAGGGATAAATATGGGGGCCTTTTTGATGACACGGTTTTTGGGACAGTTTAACTTACATGGGTACTTTTTTGGGCTACACCTTAGACTGGAGCAGTTCAACTTGTAGGCAATTATTTCGGCTGCACCTTAAACCCTTAACGCTCAACTACGTCTTAAGATAATATACGGGCCGGAAGAATTCCTAATAGTATTTCCTTCTGGCCCCTGTATAAATATACAATCATGGCCATTAAGGCCCCCATATTAGGTCTGGCGTGGTCCTCGAGCTGTACGAGCTTCCCTGTGCCGCCGCAGCCAAGCGGTGCTTGGGGCGACTGGGGCGCTCTGCGCGGAACGCGGCGGGCCTCTGCCAGGTTTGCCGCGTGGCGCCTGAGGGCCCCCAAACCGAAACCCCAAGCCCTCCAAACCCCGAAGCCGAAACCCTAAACCCTAAACCCCAAACCCCAAACCCTAAACCCCAAACCCTGAACCCTAAGCCCCAAAACCCTAAAGCCCAAACCTCAAGCCCTAACTCTCAACCCTAAACCCTAAACCCCAAAACTCCCCTAAAAGGCCCTAAACCCAGAGCCTCCTCGAGCCTGAACAACCTGGAGCCCAACCTAACCCCTAACCCCTAGACCCCTAAACCCTAAACCCCAACCCCTAAACCCTAAACCCTAAACCTCTCCTACTATATATATATATATTTAAATGTTAAACCCCTTCGTGGATTTGGGCAAAAACCTTCGTGGATTTGGGCACAAACCTTCGTGGATTTGGGCAAAAACCTTCGTGGATTTAGGCAAGGTACGGGGTTTGACGGCCTCGAGGGGCCAGGGTTCAGGTTTTTCATTGGTTTTGACCCCGTACCTTGCCTAAATCCACGAAGGTTTTTGCCCAAATCCACGAAGGTTTTGTGCTTTTTGGGACCCCGTACCTTGCCTAAATCCACGAAAGCCATTAACATTATAATGTTCGAGCGTTCGTGGATTTGGGCACAAACCTTCGTGGATTTGGGCAAAAACCTTCGTGGATTTGGGCAAAAGCCTTCGTGGATTTGGGCAAAAACCTTCGTGGATTTAGGCAAGGTACGGGGTTCGACGGCCTCGAGGGGCCAGGGTTCAGGTTTTTCACTGACGTCGTGTGGGCACCTTCGTGGATTTAGGCACGAACCTTCGTGGATTAGGCAAGGTACGGGATCAAAACCAGTGAAAAACCTGAACCCTGGCCCTTCGACGCCAGTGAAAAACCTGAACCCTGGCCTCTCGAGGCCGTGAAAATCGTGGATTGGCCTCGAGGCCCTAGGGTTCAGGTTTTTCACTGGTGTCGGGGTTGCAGGGTTCAGGTTTTTCACTGGTTTTGTGCCCCGAGGCCCCAGGGTTCAGGTTTTTCACTGGCCCAGGGTTCAGGTTTTTCACTGGTTTTGTGTCCGTTGGGGTCGGGGCCCTAGGGTTTAGGATTTTCACGGGCGGGGGCGTGCCTAAAACCACGAGTGTGCTTAAAAATTATTATAAGTAGGAGAGGGTTTAGGATAGGATCTTCAGGGGGTCGGGGCCCCAGGGTTTAGGATTTTCACGGGGTCGGGGCCCTAGGGTTGGGAAAACCCTTCAGGCCCTGAAGGGTTTGGGGAAACATTTTCCTAATGGTGTGGGACCCAATGGGCGGGTGGTGTGGCCTTGAAAGCTGCTCAACAAGTGAATGCTTGGACCAGAGATGCTGAACCCTAAGCCCTAAACCCCAAACCCCAAACCCTAAACCCTAAACCCTAAACCCTAAACCCTAAACCCTAAACCCTAAACCCTAAACCCTAAACCCTAAACCCTAAACCCTTTGAGAATCCCTAAGCTCCCCTGAACCCCCCAAGGCCCCAAGGGTGCCGCGCGGGTTCAGCCGGCCCCCGCCGCGCCGCGCCGCGCCGGCGCGGCCGCGAAGGTGGAGCTCGAAGTAGGGTTTAGGTTTAGGGTTTAGGGTTTAGGGTTTAGGGTTGAGGGTTTAGGGTTTAGGGTTTAGGGTTTAGGGTTTAGGGTTTAGGGTAAGCTGGCCGCGAAGGTGGAGCTCGAAGGGGAGACTGCAGCCTGGCAGGTGGGGGCTGATTTCGGGGTTTGGGGTTTAGGGTTTGGGGTTTGGGGTTTAGGGTTTGGGGTTTGGGGTTTAGGGTTTAGGGTTTAGGGTTTGGGGTTTGGGGTTTAGGGTTTGGGGTTCAGGGTTTAGGTTTTGGGGTTTAGGGTTTGGGGTTTAGGGTTTGGGGTTTGGGGTTTAGGGTTTGGGGTTTGGGGTTTGGGGTTTGGGGTTTGGGGTTCAGGGTTTGGGGCGCTTTTTTGGGTGTCTTGATTTAATTGGGCGCAGCACCCCACGATAAGCCCAATACCAAAGCCTGTTCCTAACAACGAGTACTGGTCCCTCGTTAAAGTCATTACCCTAAACGCCACCATCGAATTGCCAGGACAGGCCTAGGAACCCCTCAAAACTGTTGAGACCTTCAAACCTCCCTGAGTCCTGGAGACCTCCTGACAACAACCCCGGCATCGTGCTTTTGGATCACGACTTTTCGACTTAGCTTTCAACAAACTACCGGAAGAAGTTTGTTGTAAACAGGCAACTGACTTGAGGTTAGGCCTAAACCCTCAAAGGTGTAGGTTTGGGTGGCTTTGCGCCTTGGATGGCCTGGCCAAAGCTGCTCTTCGCACCTGACGAAGATTTCGCCGCATCTGCGCCAAATTACAGCAATCCCTAAGACATAAACCCTAAAGCCCTAAAACCCAAAAACCCTAAAACCCCAAACACCCAAAAACCCTAAAGCCCTAAAACGCAAAAACCCAAAAGCCCTAAAGCCCTAAAGCCCTAAAACCCTAAGCCCTAAACCTAAACCCTGAAACCCTAAAACCTAAAAACTCTAAAACCCTAAAACCCTAAAGACCTAAAACCCTAAAACCCTAAACCCTGAACCCTAAACCCTAAAACCCTAAACCCTAAACCCTGAACCCCAAAACCCTAACCCCTAAACCCTATGCGCAGCTTTGACAGGCCAAGGTCGCTGAGTTGGCTGCGCGGGGATTCACGGCCACTTTGGCCTCAGATCGTGTTTGGCGTTCAGGCTTCAGGGGGTTTAGGGGTTTAGGGTTTAGGGTGTTTAGGGTGTATGGGGTTTAGGGTTTAGGGTTCAGGGTTTAGGGTTTAGGGTGTTTAGGGTTTAGGGTTAGGGTGTATAGGGTTTAGGGTTCAGGGGGTTCAGGGGGTTCAGGGTGTAGGGGGTTTACGGTTATGGTTTTAGGGTTTAGGGTTTGGGGGTTTGGGGGGTGTAGGGGTGAGGGTTTAGGGTTCAGGGGGTTCAGGGTTTTGGGTGCAGGTTTAGGGTTCAGAAAGCTTAGAGTTTTGGGCGGTTTACGGGGTTCAGAGTTGTGAATTGCAGAGGATCCCATGATCAAAGGGTATCGGGGCGTTCTTGGGGAACGCGGGTTCTTTCAATCCCACCCTAGCCAAACCGTAAACCCTAAGTAAACCGTAAGCCCAAAAGCCCAGATTAAGACCCGAAACCGAAGTGGGGTGAGCTTTCGTGAGGTTCAGGGTCGAAGGTGGGAAGAAAATGGACCCTCAACCCTCAACCCAAAACCCTGCCCACATCTCCTCCGAAAGCCTACCCCAAGATGCTCCTAAATACGCCTTCCTCCGGTTCAGGGTTTAGGGTTTAGGGTTTAGGGTTTAGGGTTTAGGGTTTAGGGCTGCCCAAAGTTCTGCCCCGAGGTGGAGCATCTGCTGCAGTTCTGTGGCGCCCTTGGCACCCACGCCCTGATGCCGCACTTCGACGCCTCGAAAAGCACGACCAATGATGTCGTTCGGCAGGCCATCTTCCTAAACCCCTGCAAACCCTGAATTCTGAGCCCTAAACCCTAAACCCTAAACTCTAAACCCTAAACCCTAAACCCTAAACCCTAAACCCTAAACCCTAAACCCTGAAGCCTAAAGCCTCAACTCTCAGTTCTCAACCCGAAGCTCGAAACCCTTCTGCCGCCTCAAACCCCCCCGAGCCTGAGGAGCCCGAACCCCCCCCCACCCCCCCCTCCCCACCCCCCCCCCCGCCCCCCCACCCCCCCACCCCCCCCCCCCCACCCCCCCCCCCCACCCCCCCCCCCCCCACCCCCCCCCCCCTACTCCTCTAAACTCCAAAATCCCCTTCTTTTCCCCCAAATCCCTGAACCCCATACCCTAAACCCCTAAACCCAGAATCCCTAACCCGAAACCCAAAACCCAAAACCCTAAACCCTAAACCCTAAACCCTAAACCCTAAACCCTCAAGACAACATGAATAGAAATTGTATGTGGCACCATTCTGATTTTGCCCAGATATTTGTCTAAACAGCTGACACACAGAGTTTGAGTAAAGTAATCTAAAGCGCCCTGGAAGGCCAACTGCTCAATTTGCCTAAAGCTCTGGGGCCTTCCCACCCGGAGGCAAGGCCCTACTCCCAGAAAAAATGCAAAAACCTAAGCAAAACTTTCGCACAAAACTTTCGCACACAACTTTTGCTCAGAACTCTCGCACAGAACTTTCGCGCAACACTTTCGCCCAAAGCTTTCGCACGAAACTTTCGCGCACAGCTTTCGTCCAGAACTTTCGCACGAAACTTTCGCACAAGACGTTCGCTCAAAACTTTCGCACAAAACTTTCGCTCAACAATTTCGGCCAAAACTTTCGCACAAAACTTTCGCTCAAAACTTTCCCACGAAACTATCGCACAACATTTCCGCACAAAACTTTCGAAAAGGCCCGTGGAAGACCCTTAGCCCACAAAAGGCTCTGGGAGGCATCAAAAAAGCACCCCTTCCGTCCAATGCCCCCCCCCCCCCACCCCAAACCCTTCTTCCCTCCCCCCCAAACAAATTCCTAATATCTAAAACAAGCTGTCGCACAAAACTTGCGCTCAAAACGTTTCGCTCAAAACTTTTTGGGACCCAAACCCTATGCAATTTCTATAAACCCTAAACCTGCACCCTCAACCCTCAACCCTCAACCCTCAACCCTCAACCCTCAACCCTCAACCCTCAACCCTCAACCCTGAACCCTAAACCCTAAACCCTAAACCCTAAACCCTAAACCCTAAACCCTAAACCCTAAACCTCAACCAAAGAGCCAGGCGATCATCCCGTTGAGCCGGCTTCTCGGGTCATGGTCCAGCATCCGGGAAGGCGGAGATGATCTCGTAGGGTTTAGGGAGTTTAGGGTTTAGGGTCTAGGGTCTAGGGTTTAGGGGTTCGGGGTTTAAGGGTTCAGGAGATTAGGGTTCAAGGTTTTGGGTTTGGGGGGCTGTTGGGCTTCTAGCGTGTTTTAGGCTCCAGCGCTTTGGAGGGGGCGCATGTGGGGGTGAGGTCCAAGCAGGCTTCTTCAGCCATGGTTTGGGAGAGCATAAGATGCCACTCAAAGCTTTGTTGCACGGAAGCGAGAGAAAAAAGAGACGGTTTGAGGTTGAGGGTTTAGAGTTTCGCTTGGTATTTCAGTCATGGTTTTGCAAAGTTACTGCGCTATATTCAAAAGCTGCCATGAAAACAGGGGCTAGTAGATAGTAAGCGACAAATAGACAACGACAAAAGACCCGTTAACTTTTTCGCTTTTAATCCAAGACCCAAAACCCCTCAACTTCTCAAGCCATTTTTTCTCGTATCCTTAAACCCTCAACCCCCTCAACCCCATTTTTTCTTGTCTCCTAAAACCCAAGGCGCCTGAAGCCCCCAACCTCCAAAACCCTAAACCCTAAACCCTCGCCCTAAACCCTAAACCCTAAACCCTAAACCCTAAACCCTAAACCCTAAACCCTAAACCCTAAACCCTAAACCCTAAACCCTAAACCCTAAACCCTAAACCCTAAACCCTAAACCCTAAACCCTAAACCCTAAACCCTAAACCCCCTCAACCCTTTGTTTGTCTTTCCGAGAGGGCGCAGCGACCGATTGGGCGTTGCGGGGCGGGCGCTGGCCACCTGCATGGAGGAGGAGCCACAAGAAGCGCAGGCGAGAGGGGTTTCGGGTTTAGGGTTTAGGGTTTAGGGCTTAGGGCTTACGGTTTAGGGTGTCTGGAGTGTCTGGGTGTGGGGGGTTTGGGGGGTTTTAGGGTTTGCATTAGGCTGGGGGGTTTGGGGGGGTTTTAGGGGGTCCGGGAATTTAAGTTTTAACGAGGGTTTAGGGTTTTAGGAGGAGGTTTGGGGGCTTTGGTGGGTTTAGGGGTTTAATTAGGTAGGGGTTTGGGGGGTTTTTTTGGGGGGGGGGGGGGGGGGGGGGGGGTTCAGGGTTTTCATGAGGGGTTTAGGGTTGTGGGAGTTGCGGGCTTGGTGGGTTTGGTGGGCTTGGTGGGCTTGGTGGGTGTAGGGTTTTAATTAGGGGGTTAGGGGTTTTAGAGGTTTGGTTGGGGTTTTAGGGGTGTAGGGGTTTAGGGGTTTTGCTCTTTTTTAGGGGTTTGGGGTTTAGGGTTTGGTTTAGGGTTTTCGGGTTTTCGGGTTTTAGGGTTTTGGGGTTTTAGGGTTTCAGGGTTTTAGGGTTTTAGGGTTTTACGGTTTTAGGGTTTTAGGGTTTTAGGGTTTTAGGGTTTTAGGGGGTTTTAGGGTTTTAGGGGGTTTTAGGGTTTTAGGGGGTTTTAGGGTTTTAGGGGGTTTTAGGGTTTTAGGGGGTTTTAGGGTTTTAGGGTTTTAGGGTTTTAGGGTTTTAGGGTTTTAGGGTTTTCGGGTTTTAGGGGCTTTGAAGTTTAGGGTGTACGGTTTCTTGTTTAGGGCGCAGGGTTTAGGCTTTGGGCTTATTCCGAAGCCCCAGGTCATGATCACGCACAACTGGGACAACCTCTTCGCGCACCTGGTGGCAGCGACTGTCGCCGCGGCCTTGGGGCAGTACACCTTCGAAGCTGGGCCGCCTCAGGGGTCCACAGCTCCAAGCCCCGAAGCGCGCATCCTAGGACCCCTAAGCCCTGAAAAAAAAAAACACCCAAGACCCTAAAATCCCCAAAGCCCTGAAACCCTAACCCCCACAACCCTAAAACCCTAAACCTCTAAGCCCTGGACCCTCAACCCCTAAACCCTTGAACAAGCTCTAAAACCTCAGGACCCAAACCCTGCGGATGCCTATAAACTGGGGGTTTGAGGGGGATGCCGGTGTGATGTAGAGTGCACCCGTAAGCCTAAACAATACAACCCCAACCCGAAAACCCTAACCCTAAAGCCTAAACCCTAAAGCCTAAACCCTAAACCCTGAACCCCAAACCCTAAACCCTAAATCCTCGACGTTTCAACAAGGCTAGAAAATTTTAAGACCCTCGAGCCCTGGACCCTGAACAACCTCTCGCCCTCCAAACTTTTTCTAAGCCCAGGAGAAAGCGAGACCCCAAGCCCCAAACCTCAAACACCAAGCCTCAAACCCCAAACCCCAAAGCCCCCTAAACCTTAAACCTTAAACCCCGGACCACTAAACCCTAGCCCTAAACCCTAAACGCCAAACCCCGAACCCAGGATCAGGTCTTGCAGGTCATGGGCTCGCTCGGCGGCATCGACATGCTGCGGCGCAAGTGCATTCAGGCGGGGGCAAGCCAGAAACCGAAAGTACCATCCGGTCAGTGGGAGGGCATAGGCCATCCGCCACAGCTTGCCATCCCAAATCAGCTCCCTGAACCCTAAACCCTAAACCCTAAACCCTAAACCCCTAATCCACCGTAAATTCCGGAAAGCTCTAACGCCTCGCGGATTGCAGGCGGGATGCTCAAAGCTACGGATTTGGATCCTTGACTGAAGAGTGGGCCTTCGGAGGGTCGAAGATGGGAAGGGTTCTAGGACCTTTAGGGCTTCAGGGTTTAGGGTTTAGGGTTTAGGGTTTAGGGTTTAGGGTTTAGGATTTTCGGGCTTTGGGCAATTAGGGCTTCAGGCTTTGGGGTGTTGGCGCCGCACCTTGTGCTTGCGGCGAGCGCGTCCCGCAAGCCCTAAGACCGTAATATAGGGGTCGGAATAATTACTATCGACCAGTATTCCCAGGTCTAGGGGCTCAGTTTCTTAAACAGTGGTTTCTTATACAGTGGTTTTACTGCAATCCCTTATGGTCCCTTTATAGTTATGCTATAATAACCCCCAAAACTGTATTCTAATTATTCGGCCCCTATGTTACACCCTAAACCCGAAACCATGAGACTACTTAGCAGCATCCTCGGGCTCGTGGTATCAAGCCTGATAGTTTAGGGTTTAGGGTTTAGGGTTTAGGGTTTAGGGTTTAGGGTTTAGGGTTTAGGGTTTAGGGTTTAGGGTTTCAATCCTCGGCCTTCTTCGTGCCCAGAGGACAGGATCTCAGGAGTTGGTTGTTGGAGTTGTGAAGTTTGGCGTCTTCTTCGATCTTTCAGAGTGTTTGGCGTTTTAGCTCTTAGGCTTAAGCTTCGGGCTCAGGGCTTAGGGATTAGGGCTCAGGGCTTCGGGCTTAGGGCTTCGGGCTTCGGGCTTCGGGCAAAATTAGGCTTAGGCGGCTAAGGATCTGCGCTTTCTCCATTAACCAGCATGCGAGCACCTCGGCCACTTTTGCGTTCTCGACGCTGGGCCCTGAATCCTCAACCCTTCCACCCGAAAAAATGGCCCTGCCTTTCGAGGGCTCAGTGTTAGGGTTTAGGGTTTAGGGTTCAGGGATTAGGGTTTAGGGTTTAGGGTTTTGGGTTTTGGGTTTTTGGATTCCGGAGGGGGCGTTTCGGCGTTTGGGGTTTGGGGTTTAGAGTTGAGGTTTAGGGTTTGTGGGGCATGGCATCTCGTGCCACCCCCAAAGTATCCCCTCCCCTCCCCCCCTCCCTTCTCCTGCCCAACATTGGGCCGAAAGAAGGCTTGGTTGCAGTGTTACTTGGGCCTTCTCTGGGCTGTGTCGCATCCTAAAGCAGAACCTGAAAGACTCAATGACTCCTTGCCAAAGCCCGACCCCCAAACCAAACCCTAATCCTCCATCCTCAAGGCCAGGATAAATAGAAGTTGTATACGATTCACTGAGAACTTGCAATTTCGAGGGGCTACAACAATCCTTCAAGTTCTCAGGGCATGCATTTCGATGGGCTACAATAATCCTTCAAAAGGCCCCAAAAGACATCGATTTCAGTTTCACACATAAGCGACACAAACGTCGCGAAACTCACCAAAACGAAGTTGGCAAGATGTCAGCAGAAACAAAAACCAAAACCCGACAAAACCCGACACAACTCCCCCAAAGCTCGACAAAACTCCGGACACAAACCCTATACAATTTTCTATTAAACCCCTAAACCCTAAACCCCTAAACCCTAAAACTTAAGCCCGAGATCCTCGGAAGCGGACTTTTCAGGCATCTGCGGCGGCTTTGGCCAGGAGCCTCCGGCCGACACACCGGAGCACTTGGCATACGAGACCCGGCTTGCCTTGGGGGATCGGAAGGGTTCAGGGTTTAGGGTTCAGGGTCTAGGGTTTAGGATTTAGGATTTAGGGTTTAGGGTTTAGGGTTGGCTTACGAAACCCGGCTTGCCTTTGGCTTTGGAGGCTTGAGGCTGTTAGGATTTAGGGTTTTGGGATTGCCTTAAACCTTGAACCCTAAAATACCCAAAACCCTAAACCCTAAACCCGAAACCCTAAACCCGAAACCCTCAACCCTAAACCCTAAACCCTAAACCACAAACCAAAAGCCAAGGCCTGGATCTTTGGCATTGGGGCCTTGTGGGGATGGCTGTTTGTTGGGGTATCTTTGGGCTGGAAGGGGTTAGGGTTCAGGGGTTCAGGGTTGAGGGTTTACGGTTTAGGGTTTGGGGTTCCGGGTTTAGGGTTTCGTGCTTCAGGAGACTTCAGGCACAGCGCATTTCGGGCTGATTTGTGTGCCGGGTCTTTAGAGGCTTGAGGGATTCGGGTTGAGGGTTGAGGGGTTTCTTTCGGACCATCCATCTGAAGAGACGAAGGGGTGCTCCAGAGGTCAGGGACCGTCAGAGTGTATTCTTCTGGGCTGACGGCTGCAAGGGTAGCGCAAGCCCACACATCCGACCGCGTCCCTAAAGTCGTCCTCAACTCCTTTCAACTTCGCACAATATGAGTACTGAATCTAGAAGTCGGGAACAATTCGTACTAGTGTTTCAAGTAACCTTTTTGTTCCGGGTTGTCCCAAAGCTTGGCGACTTCTACTCGAACCTAGCAGGACAGAGGCGTCTTACATGTTGCGATCAGCCCTTCGCAGAGCAGCCACGCGATCTTGTGCCAGCTCGGTGAGCCGCCAGAAGTCTGCACTGGTCACAGGAGGTGTCCAGGGGCTCGGAGAAGCCATTGCCCGTCGACTCGCTGAGGATGGGTACAAGGTTGTCATCGCAGACGTGCAGGACGGACAGATGCTCGCGGACGAGATCGAAGGCAGGTTTGTAGAGGCCGATGTATCTGAGCCCAGGCAAGTGCAAGCTGCCATTGCGGAGGTCGTGGCAACCTTTGGGAGTCTGGATGCCCTTGTGAACCTAGGTAGGCCCTTGGGATATTTTATGATTTTCCCTTATTGGGGTTTAAGAGGACCATACTTAGGAATATTTTTCAGAGGGTTTGAAGGGCCATCCTAGGAACAATGCTGGAGTGGTGGGATCCCAGCAAGTCCGGCTGGGAGATTATGACGTTGAGGACTGGAAGCGCGTCATCGACATCAACCTGAACGGTGTCTTCTATGGCCTCAAGTACGGACTGGCGCAGATGGCGCAGCAAGAAACCGGGGGCAGCATTGTGAACATGTCTTCCACTGCTGGATTCAGGGGATTCATCAACTTGGGCCCCTACACGGCTTCTAAGTTTGCGATACGCGGCATGACGCGTGCAGCCGCCGTCGAGTACGGAAACAACAACATTCGCGTCAATGCGCTCGCACCCGCGGCTTGTGAAACACCCTTGCTCAAAGGCTTCATCGAGAACAGCCCGAATCCGATGATGACCTATAACTTCTTGGCGGGTTACCATGCAATTCCTGCGCTTCCGCAGGTAAAGGATGTGGCTGATGCGTGCGCTTTTCTGTTGAGTGACCAGGCGCGGTATATTACCGGACACACCTTGCCCGTGGACGCCGGTACTCTTTGTCGAGTTGCAAATGCCCCTGAGCGTTTCAATTAGGTTTTAAAAGCGTCTGCCGCACCGCGGCACGCGACATGCAGTGGCACCCTGCGGCGATGATGCCTTGCCAGAGGCTGGCAATTTATATCTGTGAAATTCCTTCCCGCTGGGTGACCTGAGTATAAACATCCACAAAACTTCGCGTTCCCAATCGGGACCTATCCGTGGCCCTCAACCCCCGATCCCTAAGGTTCTTAGGGGTTTTGTAAAACGGTAAGAGAAGGAAGAAGATAACGTTCATGTTTAGAACACCTGCTTCAAGCAGTTTAGGCGATGTCTTTATCTTGTAATCCGTTCCCCCTAATATTAAAGGCCCCCCCCCCCCTCCCTTGTATAAAAACCCCCAAAGGGTTTTTTGTATTAGGGGGGGTTCTTATCGTTTGTCCGAAAAACCAGCCCGTCCTTATTGCAGCACGCTGGCTCAGCAGCCCAGCCTAAGCCTAGACAGCTACGTTTGGAAAAGGTTCATGTTTCTGCTTCCGGCTGCAAACCCTCCCCCCCCCTAACTCCCCCCTCTCTCTGTAGAGATTTTAATAGGGACAGGCACGGGATCGGGATTTTGGGCCAGGGGGTTCTTTATATAAGGGGGGTATTAATATTAGGGGGAACGGATTAGAGAAGCTGTGCCGTTTCAAGCAGTTCAGGCCATGTCCTGTATGAAATCTGCGCCGCATCAAGCAGTTTAGGCCACACCCGAAGCTCTAAACCCTAGACCGCAAGCTCCTCTCCCTGTGCTCTGTCGTGTGTTAAACCCTAAAGCCCAAACCCTAAACCCCAAACCCTAAACCCCAAACCCTAAACCCCAAACCCTAAACCCCAAACCCCAAACCCTAAACCCTAAACCCTAAAAACCCTAAACCCTAGGACGCTCCTAGAACTGTAGGGCTTGGGGGTGAACGAACGCCGAATGCAGGAAGCCCTGAGCCCGAAACGCCTACAGTGCTTAGGGTTTAGGGTTTAGGGTTTAGGGTTTTACAGTAACATCCAGAAAGTGGAACATGGCTTAAGGGCGATTAGTGCTGGGATTCCCTTTAGCAACCCTTCAACCCTTCAATCCTTCAACCCTTCAATCCTAAGCCAAGGCAGGCAAAGGCCCTGAAAGCCTAACCTCCCTAAACCCAAAACCCAAAAGGGTTTAGGGTTTAGGGTTCACCTGTGGGATTAAACCCTAAACCCTGAACCCTAAACCCTAGACCCTAGACCCTAAGCCCTAAGCCCTAAGCCCTAAGCCCTACGCCCTAAGCCCTAAGCCCTAAACCCTAAAGGGCCCCTAGGCACTAAGTGTAGGGGGAACAAATCCCAGGGGTCACGCTTTAAAGCCTAAATCCTAAACTTCGACAGTCGAGAGCCCTAAACCCTAAACCCTAAACCCTAAACCCTAAACCCTAAACCCTAAACCCTAAACCCTAAACCCTAAACCCTAAACCCTAAACCCTAAACCTTAAACCCCGAACCCTAAACCCTAAACCGACAAACTCACACTGAGGACCGGAAGCGGCGTGACAACGCGACTGGGAGAGTCTACGTTACCTGCGGCTGTGCTGCGTTTAGGGTTTAGGGTTTAGGGTTCAGGGTTTAGGGTTTAGGGTTTAGGGTTTAGGGGTTAGGGTTTAGGGTTTAGGGTTTAGGGTTTAGGGGAAGAAACGGGGCTTAGGGTTTAGGGTTTTGGGCTTAGGGTTCAGGGTTTAGGGTTTAGGGTTTGGGCTTAAGGTTCAGAGTTTAGGGGGCTTTGCTTTTTTGGGCTTAAGGTTCAGGGTTTGGGGTTATTTTAGGTGTTAGGGGTGCAGTGGCCAGGTTTAGGGTTTGGGGCCTCGGGCGCGGCAACTTGTTGGTAGAACTCAGGTTGCAATCCTCCAACCCCCTAAACCCGAAACCCGAAACCCTAAACCCTAACCCTAAACCCTAAACCCTAAACCCTAAACCCTAAACCCTAAACCCTGGGATTCCAAAAGCGCAAGCTGCCAGGCAGCTGTAAGACTCCCAAGCACTTCAACGACGACCGGGACGTCTGCGAGCTCAACAAGTCCCTTCGGCCCTGATCGGCTCCGAATCCTTGGGGTTTAGGGTTTAGGGTTTAGGGCTTAGGGGCTTAGGGTTTAGGGCTTAGGGCTTGGGGTTTAGGGTTTGGGGCTTGGGGTTAGGGTTTCGGGTTAGGGTTTAGGGCTTGGGGTTTAGGGTTTATGGGCAGCTTTGAACCCGAAGCCCCTGAACGCTAAACTCCTCAACACTAAGCCCGAGAAGCCCAAGCCCTAAACCCTAAACCCTAAAACCCCAAACCCTAAACCCAAAACCCTAAACCCCAAACCTTAGTCTCCTACCCAAGAAGCAAGTGCAGGTTCGACTCCATGATGCGCTATCTGGCCGCGACGCCTGGATGCAGGTCTTAGGGTTTAGGGTTTAGGGTTTGGGGTTTAGGGTGTTTTTTGTTACCCCTTGTAGGCCCTAAACCCTAAGCCCCAAACCCTAAACCCTAAACCCGACCTAAACCTTAAACTCTACCCGCCACTCTCAACCCCTAAAGCCACCTCCCCCCCCCCCCCCCCCCCCCCCCCCCCACCCAAAAAAACAGAAAAGACGCCGGCAGTCTCTGGCTCTCATGCGCCAAAAGGGGGAGGTTTGGGGTGGAGGGTTCAGGGTTTAGGGTTGCGGCACTTCTCTTGTAGTGGTCCAACCTCAAACCTCAAACCGTGCCCTGTGCTTAATCCCTAGTGGCGCGCCAAGTACTTCCTTCAATGTCAAGGGTTCAGGGTTCTAGGGTTTAGGGAATATACAAACAATAGCCCCCAAGCCTCCCAACAATCGTGCAGCAAAAACTGCAAACCGTCCAAAATGCTGAAACCACGCGGTTCCAAGATTGAGCCCACAAAACCCTAGCTGGGGCGAAAAGGCGCATCCCAAGCCGGACAGATTTGGGCAAACGATTGTGTGAACCCTAAACCCTAAAGCCTGAAGCCTAAACCCTAAACCCTAAACCCTAAACCCTAAACTCTAAACCCTAAATCCTAAACCCTAAACCCTAAACCCTTTCCAGTCTCTCGAGCCCAGGAAAGACGTCAACTTCCAGCAAGTGGTGGCTGTGGACCAGCACCTGAACTTGTTCAGGAGGCCGGCGCGCGAAGCCCCGGAACCTCTTTTCGGGTTAGGGTTTCTAGGGTTCTGGGTTTAGGGCTTATAGGGCATAGGCGGTATAGGGTATAGGGTTGAGGCACGTCTCGTCCCAGAAGCCCCTTCAGAACCCCCAAGCTTGAAAACACTAGCAGTAGCCGAAAGCAACCCGATAGCCTTCAAGCCATAGACCGGACCCTAAACTGTTCCCCAGGGGCTATACTCATCATCATGATCTGATGAGTATAATGAGCGACAGCCAATACGATAAGATATTCTATATGATTTAATCTAATGTGTTGGGTGTTGGGCACGCTTGCATTTGGGTGTGTGTATTTCTTGCATCGGATAGCAGACCCTCCGGTGCCCTGGCTAGGGTATGGGGCAGTGGCCGCGCGAGTTCGCAGAATGAAAGGCAACCGCGCGCTTAGCTTCTACCGGCATGGTGTTCGAACCCCCCTTCAACCTTAAACCCTAAACCCCCCACATCACCCACCGGCCGTAACGTTGTCAGGACTTAGGGTTTAGGGTTTAGGGTTTGGGGTTTGGGGATTAGGGTTTAGGGTGTAGGGTTTAGGGTTTAGGGATACTCTCAACCTAAACCCTAAAACCCCCACATTACCGGTCAAGGGCCTGGTGCGTCGCAGAGCTGGTGGAAGCGCGGGCTTTGGGTATTCAGCGATCGCTGGTCGATGCTTGGATTTTAAGATGCTGGTGAAGGGATCCCCCCCCTAAACCCACAAACCCTACAAACCCTAAACCCCAAACCCGAAACCCCAACCCCCAAACCCTAGCTCCTTTCTCCTAAACCCAAAACCCCAAACCTTCCCTTTTTTTGGGGCACCCGCAAGCGGAACCCCAGAGTTTTTTGAGGTCTGACACAGCCAAATACCGCAGTTGAGGTTCTCAGCCAAGAGTGCGTCTCCAAGAAGAAGACGGAAGTTCTGAAGCAGATCAGGGTGCCTCGCCAGGGATCTTGAGCTAGGAAGCTTTGGGGGCTTGAGATGTCAGCACTTCTGGAAACTTGTGCTGCTGACCCGAGGTGTGTCTCAAAACCCTAAGCCCTAAACCCGAAATAAACCCTAGACCCTCAGAGAGCCCCCGCCTGCAGTAAACTCCAGAAAGTTGATTAGAGCTGGGATTCCCTTTAGCATACCTTTTGGGGTAAGGGGGTAAGGATGTTCCAACTTTCTGGACCCTAAACCCTAAACCCTGAACCCTATTTACTGTAAGCCACAGGTGCAAGACTGCAAGGCCTCACGGCCGGAGGACGCGCAGGAGATTTTGTCCAAGATCGCCGACAAGGCCTTCTTGCAGTTTTTGGTTTTTGGGTTTTGGGTTTTTGGGTTTTTGGGTTTTTGGGTTTTTGGGTTTTTGGGTTTTTGGGTTTTTGGGTTTTTGGGTTTTTGGTTTTTGGGTTTTTGGGTTTTTGGGTTTTTGGGTTTTTGGGTTTTTGGGTTTTTGGGTTTTTGGGTTTTTGGGTTTTTGGGTTTTTGGGTTTTTGGGTTTTTGGGGTTTTTGGGTTTTTGGGTTTTTGGGTTTTTGGGTTTTTGGGTTTTTGGGTTTTTGGGGGGTTTTTGGGGGGGGTGGGCTTTTGTTTTTCTTCGGTTTTTGGGCTTTTTTTTTTTTTTGTCAGTTTTTTTGGGTTTTTTTGGGTTTTTGGGTTTTTGGGTTTTTGGGCTTTTGGTTGTTTGGGTTTTTGGGTTTTTGGGCTTTTGGGTGTTTGGGTTTTTGGGGTTTTGGGGTTTTGGGGTTTTGGGGTTTTGGTTTTTTAGGTTTTTTAGGTTTTTGGGTTTTTGGGTTTTTGGTTTTTTCGGTTTTTGGGTTTTTGGGTTTTTGGGTTTTTGGGTTTTTGGGTTTTTGGGTTTTTGGGGTTTTGGGGTTTTGGGGTTTTG